TATGTGGGGAGGGAATGAGAGGAAAGAAAAAAAAAGGTAAAGAGAGGATAAAGAAAAATAAACAGGATTACCACAACATGAGCTGCACAACACTGGGACTCACTAATCCAGCCGCAATCCGTGAAAAGTAGAAGAGACAACACCAGGTTTCACCCTGTACTGGACACAAACTAGTCAGCTTTTTTTTTTTTAGTTTAGTACGGGGTTTTACGGCGCTCGCAACTGCAAAAGGACAAACTAGTCAGTGACAAAACACCCACCTGACCCTCTGGGAGTCTCATGATAGCCCAGCTGTGAATCAGTATTGACCCCTGTCCCCAGCAACAGCTTCTTGTCTTGATACTGTGCGTGTATGAGGGAGAATCCGTGACCACAGGCGATGTTCAAGGGCTGCAGACAGAGACAGACACCAGCCGTAGTGGCACTTCAGATCTCATCATTATAGGCAATCTTTCTGAGGTTAGAAATTCTTTAACATTTTCCTGTTTAACGTCTTAAGGACCAGTAACCATCTTGCAGCTGGCAGATTTGTCTGGATCATGGCTGTCAACTAAGCTCTCAGACAAAAAACCATATATCTACAACTTTAATTAGAACAGTTTTCGTTCGGTTGAGCACCTGTGCGACAGCTGTAAGCAAGGAGCATGCAACATGTTAACAATGCCACAGGAGTAGCGCACAACGAATCGAGCAAAACATTTTTGAAGGTACCGAAGAAGGATTACATTTTCACAATTTCAAAAGATGTTTTCTGTACTCAGTGCTGGTGAATTCGAGCAGACCCTTATATTTACAGAGTCTTTCTCAACATAACAGACCATGACTGTCTCCTTTAAAATAGTTTATAATTTCCAGTGCAATTACTATACTTGGGACTACTTCCAACAAGCAGTTCAGGTAGGCATATTCATATTTCAAGCACATCGAAAGTACACGACATCAGCTCAGGCAGTACGTACGACATGTATCACACTGGACTGCAACACAGGTGACTTTGGCCTCAATTCGTCTTGTTTGGATAGTTTTTACATGAAACATTTTTTGGAATAACGAAAAAACCCCAACCTATTACAACTTATAGCGCCAGTGAGAGTGTACCTAGTTCCAGAACAATATATTATGAACACTGAGGTTAAACTGCCTTTTCTTCTGTGTAACAAATTCTTTTGAAAACATTCTGTAGTACTACATAATCAGTGGCTCACGAAAGAGATAATACTTAAACAACACGGCTCATAAAAAGACTACAACTTGTCTTACCTTTAACTTGTGAATGTCAAAAAACCTGACACGAGCTGGTCTGTTGATTTTGTTGATTGCAAACTGCTGTTTATCAAATTTTAAACTTGGTCTCATATAACTGGCAATGCCTGAAAAACAATGAAATTTTTAATATGTTTACAATCATTTTTATCATCATGTCTGTTCACGAGAGAGAGAGAGAAAGAGAGAGAGAGGGAGGGAGGGAGGGAGGGAGAGAGAGAGAGAGAGAGAGAGAGAGAGAGAGAGAGAGAGAGAGAGGAGAGTAGGAGGAGGAGGAGAGAGAGAGAGGAAGAGAGGAGGAGGAGAGAGAGGAGAGACATAGAGAAAAAGAGGAGAGAGAGAAAGAAGGAGAAAGAAAGATAAATAGTTAAAATAGACAGAACTCACAAGGACAGACAGTGAGACTGAGAGTTAGACAGACAAACAGAGGCGGTGATACATAAGTCGAGATGTAAATGGAGAGAGAGTGAGAGAAAAAAAAAGAGTAAAGAAAAAATGAAAGATGTCACATTATATACTCCTCTGTACACAACTTTAGGCCAGAGTGATCAAAGATAAATTATGGATTGTGAACATATTTTTGCAGTTTTTCCAAGAAAAAACATCCAATTACATTTTCACAGATAAAATTCTTTCCTGAAAAAACAAAAAACAAACTGGATTACCTAAAGCTCCTGATGCAGCTAGTCCCCAGGCATACACTATCCTCGATTTTGAAGCCTGCTCACCAACATACACATTTTCCTGTGCCTTTCTCTCCTCCTGCTTCCTCTTTCGCTGACTGTACTTTGTCCTTTTCTGAGTCTCCACAATAGACGCCCACTGAGTCAGCACTGCTGGGTGATGTGAGAGACATCTTGTGCACAAGAAACGTGGAGGAATAGAAAAACACTTCTGGTACACCGCCATGCTGAAAGAAATAATATAATTTATAAAAAGCCTGCTCGCCAGCTCCACTTGGACTCAAGTCCGATTAAATTTATAAATATGGGTTTATCTATTCGGACTCGGATCCGAAAAAATGTTTTATTTATTTGGATTCAGCTTCTAAGTGAGTTATGTGAGTGTAATGCGGTTACACAATATAACTGTCGTCAGGGGATTTTGATTTTAACATATTATCAGAACTAGAACTAGAATTAATATATATTATAAGAATCACCTACTAGGACTGTGTAATTGTGTCAAAAGGCAAAAGACTGCACTCTCATTGCCCACTGGCAGAGTTTGCGCACATGGTAACCGACAACTTGGGGTCTTTAAACCACCACTACAGCATCATCATTACTTCGACCATCATTTGTCTTTCCACTTATTTAATTTCATTTTGTTGTGTGTTATAGACCTAGTTTTTCTGTAATTAATTTTTTACGAAAAATTACATCGCACAAATTGAAAGCCCTGGCCTCTTCCTGACACTAGGCCTGGGCAGAAACCGAATAAATTATTCGAATAACCGAATACGAGCCCAAAACTAGGTCTCCGGTTCATTTTTCCAAAAACTAAGTACCTAGTTTGAAACTAGGTACCTGTTTCTAAACTAGGTATCTAATTTCTTATTCGTTTTTTCGCTATTGATTCGCTTTCAGAAGCGGAAGAGTGACGTGTCCTTGGCATTGCACAGAGGGTGTGGGACGGAGAAAAAAGGAGGGGGTAGGCGAGGA